AGAGGAAGGACGAGGGATGACCGCTCGATTCTTGAAGCAGGAAGGCGCTGAGAGTAGATCGGAATCTGGGAATCCAAAAATACCTACTCTCAACGACTGATGGGTAGTCCATCGCCATCTCGTTCCGCACTGGCCGATGCCCGGCCACGTCCTCCTCCTCGTCCTCCTCCTCCTCCTCCTCGTCCCTCCTCCTCGTCCTCCTCCTCGTCCTCCTCCTCGTCCTCCTCCTCGTCCTCCTCCTCCTCCTCCTCCTCCTCTGGCGGCGTCCCCAACCCTGCACGCCCGCGGCGGGGTGGGCCGCCGCTGGGCGGCACGGCGCGGACCTGCCGTAGAACAATAAAAAAGCTCGAGGAGCGAGCCCCTACGGGGGCCCCGCGGCCCCGCCCAGCCCAGAGGCCACCCCCAGAGCCCCCCCCCTAAAACGACGCGAAGCTCGGGCCAACATCGGATCGGGACAACTCGAGATCTCTGAGAGGATCGGCGGGCTTGGAGGATGTACTGGGCGCCGCGGCCGCTCCAGAGCGCTCCCGAACGCTCTGAGGGCGCTCCGGAACGCCACGGAGCGATTTATCCCGATCCTAGCCCTGTTTTACCCCCCCCCCTCGAGGGCCCCTCGGGGCCAGGCCTGGCCGGCTCCCTCGAGGGCCCTTCGCCGGGAGGCGCGGCGGCGAGGGCCCGCCCCCCACGAGTGGGGGGGCGACGGGGCGGGGAGGGCGAGGGGGTGGAGAGGGCGAAGAGGGAGGGCGAGGCAGGGGGCGGAGGAGGAGGAGGAGGATGAGGCGGAGGAGGAGGAGGAGGCGGAGGAGGAGGCGGAGGAGGAGGAGGCGGAGGAGGCGGAGGAGGAAACTGGGAGAAAGGCGAGGCAGGGAGAGAGGGAAGATAGACTGGGATAGAAATGGAACAGCGCATTCCGCAACTCGCAAGAAATCCGCCGACCCCTTGTGGCTCCCCCCGAGACTCCAAACTGGCAATTCGACCCCCCCCTCGTCGGATCCGACCCACCGCCGAACTCATCAGGGGGGGCCTGGTTCCCCAGGCTCGCTGTGTAGCTCAAAGACAGCCCGCCGAGGCCCCCAAGACACCCCAAAGACAGCCCAAAAGTGTCCGAATAGTCGTTCCAACACGCGCAATATGGGCCCAGGATAGCCCACGAAGCAGCCAACACACCCCAGGACGCCCCCAGGAGGCCTGTCAGGAACCCCCCACGATGCCCAAATCGTCAATTTCGATTGGGACACCGTGTGTGTTTAACATATGCGACTTTTTGGTTTTCGCCGCGTTGGCGACAGTCCAAGAGGCCCCCGAGACCGCCCCACGACGGCCCAAAAGACCCCCAGGGGGCCTCCAAGACAACCCAAAATGTATCCGAGACGGCCCAAAACACCCGTCCTGTAGTTCCAAGACAGCCCGTCGAGGCCCCCAAGACACCCCCAAAACGGTCCAAGAAACCACAACATCTCATAATGATCGCTCTAACACGCCCAAGATGGGCCCAGGACGGCCCAAAAAGCCGCCAAGACACCCTAGGACGCCCCCAGGAGGCCTGTCAAGAAGCCCCCACGATGCCCAAATCGCCCATTTCCATGGGGGAACTCGGATTTTTAACATATGCGAGTCTTCGGCCCTCACGGCGTTGACGGCAGTCCAAGAGGCCCCCAAGACCGCCCCGCGACGGCCCAAGAGGCTCCCAAGGGGCCTCCAAGACAGCCCACAAAAGGGTTCCGAAACGGCCCAAAACACCCGTTCTGTAGCTCCAAGACAGCCCGTCGAGGCCCCCAAGACGCCTCCAAAACGGTCCAAGAGAGCACGGAGTTTCCGAATGATCGCTCCGACACGCCCAAGATGGGCCCAAGATGGCCCACGAAGCAGCCAACACACCCCAGGACGCCTCCAGGAGGCCTGTCAAGAAACCCCCACGATGCCCAAATCGTCCATTTCCATTGGAAAACGCGCATGTTTAACATATGCGAGTTTTCGGCCCTCACGGCGTTGACGGCAGTCCAAGAGGCCCCCAAGACCGCCCCGCGACGGCCCAAGAGGCTCCCAAGGGGCCTTCAAGACAGCCCACAAGGGTTCCGAAACGGCCCAAAACACCCGTTCTGTAGCTCCAAGACAGCCCGTCGAGGCCCCCAAGACACCCCCAAAACGGTCCAAGAGAGCACGGAGTCTCCGAATGATCGATCCCGCACGCCCAAGATGTGCCCAAGATGGCCCACGAAGCCGCCAAGACACCCCAGGACGCCTCCAGGAGGCCTCTCAGGGAACCCCCGCGACGCCCAGATCCGCCGCCCCCTTGTGGGTCTCTAGTCGCGTGGAAGTCTCCCTCCCCCGTAATCCCCCCCCCCAGAGGCCCCAAAGTGGCAATTCGACCCCCCCTCCTGGGCCCGGCCGGACCCCGGACCTAGTCACCGGGCTCCAGAACTTGCCAACAAAAATACCCAAACTCGCCAAATAGGTACCAAAACGCTCCCCGGACGGTCCCCGAGACCATGATTCGCCGACATAGCGCCCCCAGACGCCCACGATGGCCTCCAGGCGGTCTCCGAAGCTGCGAAGACGCCCCCCAAGGCCCCTAAGGTGCGCCCCGAGAGGATCGCAAGAAACAGAAATCGGCCCATTTCCTTTGAAAACCACGCTTTACTCCGCGTGCTCGCCTACTCGGCAATCACAACGTCCACAACGGGCAAAAACACCTTCAACGTCGCTCCCACACGGCCAAAGGGGCCCCGAAGCAGGGTCGCTGAGTGTCCAACGACAGCTCACGAAGCCCCCAAGACAGCCCAAGAGGGTCCCCAGACGGCTCCAACACTGAGTCCACAAGGCACCTTTTCGAGCTTTCGGCTCCAAGACGCTCCCAGCCCGCCCCAAGAACACCCCAAAAGGGCCTGCGGGACCTCCCAGGAAACCTCCGGGGCCTCCAAGAAGCCGCTAGGAAGTCCCCAAGAGGCCCCAAAACTACATGCAAAACGACCCCGTCAGGCCTCGCACGAGATATTCTTCACCATCCGTGTGGCCGCCTAATTACCTGTATACCGCGCACGGTGGCGGGATGCGCCGCGTCCCATTCGACAACGACTCGTCCAGTTTTTGGACCGCCGCATGCCGTCTATGGGCGCGGATGTTGACAGGCATTTTCCCCAAATCGTCACTCCTCCTTCTCCTCCTCCTCCGATGACCCTCCTGCGCCTCTCCCCCTATCCTCCCCCTCTTCCTCCTCCTCCTCCGCTTTCTCCTGTTTGGTACCATGTCACCATCTCCGCGTCTCACCATCAACACCATCACCACCAGCATCATCATCATCGCCATCACCCGCACCGTGACCACCGCCATCACCATCACCACCACCACGGATCACCATCACCACCGCCACGGATCACTGCCTTGTCGCGTGTCTGGACACATGTGATGCAACCCGCACCCGCCAACCCCATTCGGGGCCTCCAGGCGTGTAAGACTCGTCCCGTGAACGGCCCCACATGCCCCTGGACTCGCTCGGGGATGGCCCCGAAGAGCCTCGAGCCCGCCCACCCAAAGAAACAAGACAACACAAGTACGCCCCAGGACAACAACACGACATCCCCAAGACGATTAAGGGGTCGGCGGATGTGGCGTAAGCCTAATTATATAATCACTCCTCGCAAAGGGCCTGGATCCGCCGCGGGGGATGTACGATACATCACGCAGAGGAAGACATGCATCTGTTCTGACGTTTGCGGGTAGGCACTTTGCGAGTAGTGGAGCGTGCCCGGTGAATGAAGGGTTAGGACGGGCATGTCCTCATACAGGCGGATTTGGGATGACAAATAAGAAACAGTCAACCAAATATCAAAAATAGTCAAAAGAGCACGAAACATCGTCACCAGACTATTGTTGACTATTTTTGAACATTCCTCCTGTAGAGGGACATGCCCGACTTCAAGGAAAACGGAGGGATGGATGGGATGGAAAGGACGGCCGGGTTCCTCCTCCGCCGCCGTGCCGCGAGGCATGAGCTGGAGTGCCCTCAGGCACCCTGCATCGGCGGCGAGCGAGGGGGGGAAGCGAGCAGGAAAAGGCCTTCTCAGAGGGCGGCGGGACTTCTCAGAAAACCCCGCGCCTGCTGAGAAGTTCTTCGCGTCCTCGGGGCAGGCTTAGAAAACTTCTCAGAAGCCCGGGGGACTTCCGAGCCTTCTAAGAAGGCCTTCTCCTTCTCGCTTCCCCCCTGGCTCGCCTCCAACTGTAATCCTCAGCCCTCGGCCCCCAGGATCGATAATTCAAGGGTCCGAACCCCAAATTCTCGAATCTACCGAGGCTCCCGGCGCGCCTCCCGCGGTTCCCCGGCGCTTCCCGCGTGTTTCCCGAGCTACGAGCGCCACAAAACAGGCCAAGAGGGCCTCGTGATAGTCATGGTGGCTCCTCCTCCTCCCTTGCCGTCGCTCCGGCGTCCGTTCCTCGTGTATTGCTTGGCTTTGCACGCCTACTAGATGCTCCAGGAGGGCCCAGATTTGATAGTACAGTCCTCACCGAACAAAAAATGCGCACGCCCGAGCGATGCCAAGCTCCTCCTCCTCCTCCTCCTCCTCCTCGTCCTCCTTCTCCTCCTCCTCCTCCTTCTCCTGCTCCTCTCCTGCTCCTGCTCCTGCTCCTCTTCCTCCTCCTCCTTCTGGGGAAACCGAAAAGGTGCCGACACCGCAAGTGCCCGGACCTCTCCCGGGGTGCGACCAGAATATTTCAAGGCGAATCCAGCGGTGGCGACGAGGGCCTCCCAGGAGGAGCAGACAGGGGGAAAACGAGGGAAGGGCAGCGGCAGGGACGCCTCTTCCTCCTCCGACCCTCCCCCTCGTCCTCCGCCTCCCGCTCCTCCTCCTCCTCGCCCCGAGCGGTGGCGCTGAGGTCCACGCCGCCGTCGAGGCTAAAAAACGCGCCCGAGACGACAGAGCAGCCGCGGCGGCGCACCACGCGCGCGCGCGGGGCCCCGACCGACCGGCCGCGCCCGCGGCGCTCGGCGGCGGCGCTCGGCG